GGGGATTCTGGGGAGGTTTTTGGGGGTCTTGGGAGGGATTTTGGGGTCTCAAAGAGGTTTTGGGGGATTTAGTGGGATTTTTGGGGTTCTCAAAAAGATTTTGGGGATTTCAGGGAGGTTTTGAAGGATTTTGAAGGGATTTTGGGGGGATTTTGCGGATCTGAGGGAGGTTTTGGGGGTCTTGAGGGGATTTTGGGGATCTGAGGGAGGTTTTGGAGGTCTTGGGGAGATTTTGGGGTTCTCATGGGGATTTCAGGGAAGTTTTGAAGGATTTTGAAGGGATTTTGAAGGGATTTGGGGGATCTGAAGGAAGTTTTAGGGTCTTGAGGGGATTTTGGGGTTCTCATGGGGATTCCAGGGAAGTTTTGAAGGGTTTTGGGGGTTCTCAGGGGGTTTTTGGGGTTTTTTTGGGGTCTCTGCTCACCCTCGTCATCGCTGGATTTGCTGAGCTGCTTCACCAACTTGGCCGTGTTGTTCTGGAAGGGAAAGGAGGCTCAGGGGACAAAAAGGGACCTTGGGGACACCAAAATTCACCTTGGGGACACCAAAATCACTCGGAGAGGGACAAAAAGGAACCTTGGGGACACCAAAATCACTCAGAGAGGGACAAAATTCACCTTGGGGACACCAAAATCACCCAGAGAGGGACAAAATTCACCTTGGGGACACCAAAATCACCCTGGGGACACCAAAATCCACCTTGGGGACACCAATGGGACACTGGGGACACCAAAAATCACCCAGAGAGGGACCCAGAGGAGACAAAAGCCACCCTGGGGACACTGGAAGCAGCACAGAAAGGACATAAAGGTGGCAAAAGCCACGTGAGTGTCCCCAAATGCCACTCAGGTGTCTCCAGATGCCACCTGAGAGTCCCCAAAAGCCACGTGAGTGTCCCCAAATGCCACTCAGGTGTCTCCAGATGCCACCTGAGAGTCCACAAAAGTCACCTGAGTGTCACCAGATGCCACCTCGGTGTCCCCAGATACCCTCAGAGGGACTTAAAGGAGACAAAAGCCACTTTGGGAGCCCCAAGGGCCACCTGAGTGTCCCCAGGAGTGTCCCCAATGATGTCCCCAATGTCCCCTCAGTGTCCCCAATGTCCCCAGTGATGTCCCCAATGTCCCCTCAGTGTCCCCAATGTCCCCTCACCTGTTTGAGGTGTTCCACAGTCAGGGGAAGGTGTTGCAGGGTCAGCAGCAGCTGCTGCAGGGCGTGACCCCAATGTCCCCTGAGTGTCCCCAATGATGTCCCCACTGTCCCCAATGTCCCCAATGATGTCCCCAATGTCCCCTCACCTGTTTGAGGTGTTCCACAGTCAGAGGGAGGTGTTGCAGGGTCAGCAGCAGCTGTTGCAGGAAGGGGACGTTGTTGGTGGCTTTGGAGCCCGTGAGCCACGCGTTGAGCAGTTTGTACCCCCCGATGCGGATGAACCTGGGGAAAATGGGAGATTTGGGGTGAAAAATGGGGATTTTGGGG